GGAGCAGCAACACCTGGGTTGCCATCCTCTGGAACTTGATCACGGTTCCGAGTTTGGCGATCGGTGTCTGCCGCAGTGTCCTCCTCACGGGTACGCCGTTGTTGTCGGGGTCGCGGGTTGGGACTTTGATTCCGAGTCATCGTGGTAAGTGCTGTCGGGATGTAAGTCGAGATGCCTTGAGAATTGACGAACCGGAAACGCGTGTTACGCTTTAATAGTTTTAAAACTGTCACGTTATACGCGATTGTTGAGACTCGAATTGAGTGCTAGAAAGCAATTTTGAGAATGAATTGAATATAAATGGAGAACTTCGTCTAGCTATGGTTGATGTTGAATGGCAGCTTGAAGTAGTAGAGTCTAGCTGCCATCTGAGAGATCGAAGTCAAATCCTAAAGTATGAATTGAACAGTGTTGCAGCCGGAAAGTTGGAGAACAACGTGCTTCTTGCGGCTTGGTCTTCAATGTTGAGCTTCCTGTCGTGATAACCATGACAGATTGCCAAGGCCTCGTCAATCTCCACTGGAAATTGCTCAATATTGTAAAAAAAAAAATCGACGCTATTCTATTACATCGCACTCTTCTTCATCTACGATGTCCTCCTCTCTGGCGTTCCGGACTGCCTTGGTTGTGATCTCATTCGTTACGAGATCCCAGTTCATACGTAAGAACAGGATTACCTCCAGTGTCTTTTTGCTCATACTCTTCCTAAGATAACCCAGCATGCATTTCATCTTTGAGAAGAGCCGTTCCACTTCGACAGACGTAGCTGGTATCCAAGAAAGATCCATGTACTTAGAGCGTGATTTCTCTCTAGCGACCGCTCGTCCGGTAACTGCATTCTGGAATTCTTGAGTCGTTCGTCTTCGTTTCGGTCGAGGCTCTGAGTTGGTCTCACTGGTTATGTGGCGTCCGGGGCATTCATCTGCTTCCGATTCGAGCGGAGGGCAGAGCAGACGCGACACGGACTTCTTTTCTCGACTGGTTAGGCTGTGCTCTTGGCCTTTCATTATTTTAACTACTCCAGCTTCAAAGTCACAGGACTCCACGATCTGGGTGTCCATCTTCAATCGCCCTTCCAATTCCGGGAATTCAACCGCGACTTCGTCAAAGATGTCACGAACAGTAACCAGTGTGAGATCTGCTTCTTGTAGGCGTCGTGTTGAGAATTCGAGTATGTTCATGTCTTCTAAGAGATCGACGATATCACAATGCTCGCTTGGGGTGGGGAGAAAGTCAACGATAGGAAAACGCCTAGCATCATCCTGAGATGCATCTGACGGGAGATATCTGTCAACCTCACGATCACGGTCAAATAGGTGCAGATACGGATGAAATTGCATGTATCGTTTCATCATTCGGTGCAGTCCGCTCCAACGCAGCTCGTGCATCGGTACTGGTTTGAGCTTGCATCCATTTTCCTTCAAGAGTGCCCTTCGACTTCAACTTTCTCATCAGAGAAGCCACTTTCTTAATCAACGCCCGATGATCTTGTACGTACTCCTTCACTGCAAGATTGAATCGATGGGCTGCCCAACCAATCTTTGGTGCGTCAATTCGTCTGGATATAGCCTTGTTGGTCTCCATGTTGTCACACACGATTGCAATGAGATTATTTGCTTCCAACTTGTACTGATATAGAACCATATCAAGAAATCGGATGTGTTCGTCTGCAGTCATGCTTTTTTCCTCGACAAATGAAGACAATGTGAGGAAACGGATATCTTTTTGTGTTGCAGCGAAAACTGCTAGCGAGTGTTCGCATCCATCTGTAACGCCGAACTTTTCTCCTTTGAACTCTTCTTGTAGACATGGTTCAACGAGCTCCACGGTTGCGACCATTCGAGCCTTTAAAGTTCTTGAATTCATGCTGTTGTACTTTATCGCCGATCTCACAACACCATCATCTACAGCCATGAACGGGAAGTTTTTGTTTACAACAAGATTCATCCACTGTGAGTCGACAGGGCGTCCTGGTCCACGAACATGTCCATTGTAACGCTCCGCTTGTCACGCATGCATTGCCGAACAACGTCTTCGTAGCCGGAGT